CCATGGCTCATTGCTATAGAATCATGGGAGCTTTAATAGTCTCTACCGAAGTTTGCTGATATGTCACCAAACTACAACTCCCAATAATCCATGGCATTGAGCCATGGCAGTTAAAGCAGTCTCAAACTGCATTAATTCTACAGTGTAGATGCACCCTTGGCTTTCTTAGGAAGATATGTACAGAGGGACTTTGCCACTGTTTTCCTCTGAGGCGAAGGGAATGTAACTTGCCTAAGGAGATTTGAATCCTGGGGTGTATCTACACTGGAGAATCAATGCAGTTTAACACCACTTTAATAGCCATGGAATCCTAGGAGCTGTGGTTTGTTGATACACCAGCAATTTTGGACAGAGAAGGCTCAAACTGTAAAACAATAACTCCCATGATTCCATAGTACTGAGCAATAGCAGTTAAAGTATACCAAGCCACATTATTTCTACAGTGTAGATGTACCTTTGGTCTCTCAAAATCATAAACCAGTATTCAAACTACATCATGATGGTAAAAAAATATAATTAATTGAGAGTAAATCTAACTGAATAGAATGAAGCTTTCTTCGAAGTAGAGGTTGCACAGTATTTTTATTTGTTTCTCTCTGTTCACAATGCTGAATCCATAGATAAAACTAGCAAAGGAATTTTTTCAACTAGAAGAAAATATTATTATACTAACACTCAATCCTGTGATAACTGGATGTGATGAGATCTGGCGCATGGATAGCTGTGTCCCTACTGTGCAGAGGCACCAAGCTTTTCTCACAATAACAAAAACTCCAGAAACTCTAATAAACCTTTCAAGGCTCTGCAACAGTATATGATATAAGAAGCAAAAGGGCTCTTATTCCTTCCAGAAGTGTCACTAAGGGATTGCCTCCAATCCTTTTATTGTTGCAAGAACAGTTTGCTTCATCCTGAGCCGAATGAGAGGAGAATTTCCGAAAACAAACAATCATCAACCGAAGTCTGGATGGAACCGTTAAATGTATACAAGTATCTGCTCCACATCACCGTCTGCCTGCTAAGGAGCATCACTCATTACAGAGAATTATCACTGCCCATTTGTCATCTCTATAGCGCTTTTAATATGAGGAATGCTTTACAATCCATACCTTACCTCCCTCGCTTTCCATAAATCATATTTCACTGCATGGCACATTAATTTCATTCTCTTTATAATTATTTGCAACCCAAAGGCAAAACTAGGGAAATTATTCTATAGAATACTGTTTTCTTTTTCTAAAGAAAACGGCAATGCAGTTCTGCAGCTTCTTTTGCAGCTCTTGATTTATAAAATAGTGGCAAAGCCCTTGTGGCTGGCTCCACTGTCCTCTGCCAGATAAAATCTCAGCGACTGACTCAAAGTGTCCGTGACTCATCATCTTTGCAAGTTGGTGTCCTATAAAAAAATGGCACAAACACAATCTAATGCACATCTGAGTGATGCTTCAGAAGCACTTTAATTAAGAACACAGCCTGTTTCTTCTGTATCTGTTTGCCATTTACCTGTTTAGTCAGCATCTGTGCTATTTGCTTCCTCATTTTCTTCATACAATATAAAGCCAATGGCTGCTCCCAGTCCCATCTGAAGCCACAGACATTTTTGCCAAATAAGCTGCTCCACAATTTATTTATTTGCTATATTTATATCCTGCCTTGCTCTACCCTGGAGAGCTTACAGATTAGGCAATAATTCAATGACTTCACAACAATATACAGTTAAAATATATTAAAATTAAAATCACAATTAAATACATTAAAACATTATAAAACATTACTATCACTATAAAACGACGCAATCCACAATCTTAATCCAGGTCATTCCAGTAATCATTGCACATAGTTCCAGTTAATCTAATTGCACTATGGTTCTTCTCTGAAGGGTTGATCGCAGAGCCACATTTTCACTCTTTTTCTGAAGGTGAGGAGGGAGGGGGCTGATCTAACATCATTGGGGAGGGAGTTCCATAGCCGAGGGACCACCACCAAGAAGGCCCTGTCTCTCGTCTTATTATCCTGTTAGCACTATCCAGTTTCGCTTAAAACCATCCAAGCCGCCATGCGTCTTCTTTGCATTTGCCAAAATTATTCCACTGGACTTGTTGTCCAAGATATACATATTCAGTCACTTCCTCAATTTCATCTCTGTTTAGAACAATGCGGCCTTAAGCACACCACTAATTTTTCACCCATTTCGTTTTCTTCAGTCCCCCCCCCCCCCACCCCAGTTCTACTGATTTTGAGAGTTGAGCTAGTTTTTGGAGATGTAAATCTTCCAGATTTTTGGCAAAAAGAATGCAATTGTTTACAAAGTGTGGATGAGAAAGTTGTTCACTGTCAATTGAAATCCCACGTTTAAATTTACTTTTTCAGAAGAGGCTTTCCAAAGTCGCCGCAAACAGTTTTGGTGATATTGTGTCTCCTTGATGCCCTCTTTTGTTTATTCTCATATGACACACTTCTGACAACAGTATTAAATTGGTTGTGAACCCTGTATTGATGCTTTTTATGATGTTCACGCATGCTGGATTTACACCAGCTCGGTGCAGAGCAAAACAGGGATATAGAGTAGAGCAGTCACGGATATAAGGTACTATGAAAGAAGATACATTGTAGCATTAGAAGGATTTTTCATTTTGGTTAACTGGATATTTAGTTGTCCTTAGAGCAGTGGTTTTCGACCTGTGGGTCCCCAGATGTTTTGGCCTTCAACTCCCAGAAATCCTAACAGCTGGTAAACTGGCTGGGATTTCTGGGAGTTGTAGGACTAAACACCTGGGGACCCACAAGTTGAGAACCATTGCCCTAGAGAAATCTCCCACCATGGGCCAGGGCCCATGAGTCAAGCACTGGTTCAAACTAGTGCCAATTAAAGAGAGATTTAACAAGTGCCAATTTAAGATTCCTTGACCCAATGAGAGAGGCTCTCGGTTGGACCCAGCACCATGCAATCCACACCTGATCCTGGCCAGCACACATTTAAGGAGATGGGGCTCCCTGCCAACATACACTGATCCAGACCAACACAGATTAAAGAGCTGTGTCAAAAGGTGTAAAAATGGGAAAGGTGGACTTCCTGGGGAGCATGAACTGCACAGAAGGGCGCCATATTTCATTTTCGCTTGATGCCCTTGGAAAACTATAAATCTTTTGGTGGGGTTCCTGTGTTTGACAACAATAATAGAAAATGGGAAATAACCAAGCAGCTGGTTAGAAGCATTAGAATATCAACAATGTAATAACTGTAATAGAACACAAAGGAGAAGGGATGCCACATCTTGTCTCCGAACATGTTAAATGTCCATCTTTTCAAGGGCACATATGAAATTAAGCTTCAAGATATTCACATCTCCTAAATGTATGGAAACGCAACAACTATTTGCCTCCCGAGGGCACATGACAGTGAAGAAGAATAATGTATTTCATTTATAGGCGCCTGCTATTCAAGTATCCCAGCTGCTCTATAATAAAACACCTTCCTCTGACTGACAACATGCCATAATTATTATGCACAGATCTTTGTGGCGAACAGGCTTCACCTTCACAAAAAACAATACAGGCCCGAAGTCTAGTGAGATTCTATCCACAATTCAATCCTCCTACAACTATAAATAATTTCCTGCATATCACAACTTCAAACCTCTCTAATCGAGTGTGATTATCTTGATCGTGCTAAAGAAGAACGATGCTTCGGGGCGAGAGGATGGGATTTCAGATAAATTACGGAGACCTCCGTTTGAAAGGCTAAATTGTCTCTTGCACGCATTTCACCAGTCTTAATTTGCATCCTTTCAGATTCTCTGAATATTTTTCAAGGTAAGGAGTAATGAGATTTTTGCCTGATCCAGTTAGGAAATAGGATAACTAGGCAGGGCACGGAAATTACAGGAATGCAATTGATGCAAGAAAAGTGTGGACAGAACACTGAATTCAGTAGAAGGAATCTTCTCGGAGTATCCTGCATCTCTAGCAATGCCCTCAGTTACACCTACACCAGCCATGGGCAAACTTTGGCCCTCCAGGTGTTTTGGACTTCAACTCCCGCAATTCCTAGTGGCTGTTAGGAATTTCAGGAGTTGAAGTCCAAGACACTTGGAGGGCTGAAGTTTGCCCATGGCTGGTCTACACTATAGAATTAAGAATTTGATGTCATTTTAACTGTCCTGGCTCAATGGAATCCTGAGAGTTGTAGTTTTATCAGGCCTATAGCATTCCCTGCTTCAACAAACTACATCTCCCAGGTTGCATCTACACTTTGGAATTAATGCAGTTTGGCAATACTTTAGAGTTGTAGTTTTATGGAACCCTGGGAGATGTAGTTTTTATTAAGTCTAATGCTTTCTCTGCCAGAGAGTGCTGGTGCCTCACCAAACTACAACTCTCATTGTAGAAAGAAGGCAGTTTGACACCACTTTAATTGCCATGGCTCATTGCTATGGCAGTTATAGTTTTACAAGGTCTTCAGCCTCCTCTGACAAAGAGTACTCGTTTCTCAGTAAATGACAACTCCCAGGATTCCACAGCACTGAGCCCTGGCATTTAAAGCGGGGTCAAACTGCATCATTTCTATGCTGTACCTCCCCTTAGGGCCCTTCCACATGGTCATATAACCCAGAATAGCAAGGTAGAATAACCCACAATATCTGCTTTGAACTGGAATATCTGAGTCCACACTGCCATATATCCCAGAATATCAAGGCAGAAAACCCCACATGATCTGGGTGTGGACTCAGATAACCCAGTTCAAAGCAGATATTGGGGGATTTTCTGCCTTGATATTCTGGGATATAAGGCTGTGTGGAAGGGTCCCGAGTCCACACTGCCATATATTCCAGTTCAAAGCATAAACTGTGGGATTCCATTCAGCTGTGTGGAAGGGCCCTTACCCACCCCAATTCCTCCAGAGGACTAAGTCGCTGTGCATCTTGGGAAAGGAAGTTTCTCTTTCCAGTGTTCTCTTCCAGGCTGTGAGGGTGTGGGACTCTATTTCCCAGGAGCCTCGGCAAGGGCAGCTCGGTCACCTGACTCCTCGGCGGTTCGAAGCAAGATGGCGGCGCCCGTGTTGCGGCGCTGTCGGGATTGGCTTCGGATAAGGAAGCTCTGCCTCGGGAAGGCCGCTGAACTTCACCGCCGGCAGGCTCCGGTGGCTGCGAGCGCGCTCTGCCGGGAAGCAAGGGAGGCTGCAACGAAAAAGAGCCGGTAGGGCAAGGAATAGCCGAGAACGGGATTCCCGGGGACGACTCACTGGCCTTCTTCATATGTAGCACCCGCTGCCAGTCTTGGGCTGGATCCACACTGGCATTTAATGCAGTTTGGGTGGCATTGTGTGGGTCTACACCAGGCCCTCCAGGTGTTTTGGACTTCAACTCCCACATTTCCCAATAGCCACCTAGAGGGCCCAAGTTTGCCCATGCCTGGTGTAGACCCACATAATGCAGCTCAATGAAATTAACTGCATTATATAGGTCTATGGTGGCCATACAATACAGTTCAGACTGCGGTATATACCAGTGTAGATCCAGCCTTGGCTTCCCAGAATTAAGGTCTCATTTTTAGCAGCCTCCCAAGATTTTAGATCTTTCCTACTACACTGGACTCCTATTAATTTGAATTTTCGTGGAGAAAATGATAGAATAAGTTACTTTAAAAATGATCCTATTCTGGCTTGCTCTCATATTTTAAAGGTACAGCGAAAGCAGTGCAGAATTCATGCTGATTTCTTTACCTGGTGGAAAACTATTATTGTTGTTATTATTTATATCCCCTCTTTTTTTTTCTCCACACATAGACTCCAAGCAGCTCACAACTAAAATCATTTCAGTACAACTTAAAATATACAAATATTAAAACAATGTTCGACAACATTAATCCAGGTTAAAACCATAAAAGCATTTAAAATCACATCACAAAAATATCTCTATGGGTGCATCTACACTCTACAATTAGTGCAGTTTGACACCACTTTCAGTACCATGACTCATTACTATGGAATCACAGGATTTCTAGTTTGGTGAGGCACCAGCCCTCTTTGGCAGAGGAGGCAAAAGACCTTGATTAAACTACACACTTCAGGATTCCATACCATTGGGCCCTGGGTTAGACTGCATCCCCAGACATTCCTAGAGAAGTGTTCTCTCAGGTAAAGAAAATAATGTGTTCAATGTATTGTCGAAGGCTTTCATGGCTGGTATCACTGGGTTGTTGTGGGTTTTTTCAGGCTATATGGCCATGTTCTAGAGGTATTATCTCCTCACGTTTCACCTGCATCTATGGCAAGCATCCTCAGAGGTAGTGAGGTCTGTTGGAACTAGGAAAAAGGGTTGATATATCTGTGGAATGACCAGGATTGGACAAAGGACTCGTGTCTGCTGGAGCTAGGTGCGAATATTTCAACTGAACACCTAGCATTTGATGGCCTGGCAGTGCCTGGGGCAATCTTTTGTTCAGAGGTGATTAGATGTCCCAGATTGTTTCCTCTCTGTTGTTTTGCTGTTGTAATTTTTAGAGGTTTTTTTTTAATACTGGTAGCCAGATTTTGTTCATTTTCATGGTTTCCTCCTTTCTGTTGAAATTGTCCACATGCTTTTTCCTAGTTCCAACAGACCTCACTACCTCTGAGGATGTTTGCCATAGATGCAGGCGAAACATCGGGAGAGAAGGCCTCTAGAACATAGCCATATAGCCCGAAAAAACCTACAACCACCCAAAATAATGTGTGTGTTTTTTCCATTTTGTGCCTCTAACCTAGGCATGTGCAAACTTCAGCCCTCCAGATGTTTTGGACTCTAGCTCCCAGAATTCCTAACAGGCTGCTAGGAATTGACATTCAAAACACCTGGAGGGCCAAAGATTGCTCATGCCTGCCTAACTCCAGTGAATGTGGAGGCACCACTGTACATACATATTAGATCATTATGTACATATACTTATATACTTGTGTTTTCCTTGAACTCAGTCTAGGAGAACACTGCATATTTTGAGCAGCCTTTAAATTATAGTCCCTGGCACATTTGATGGAACACAATGATGTTGCTAGATTTCTAAGTAATATTACATATATAATATGATAAAACTGTGTATTTTGAGATTAGCTCACTCTGTAACCTTAAAAAGGTTATAGAGAAAGTATTCTTTCACAGTATTCTTTCTCAGAATTTTATAAAGGCATGTTAGAATCACAGAATAATAAAAGTTGTAAGAAACTTTAAGGTCCATCCAGTTCAGCCTCTTGCCATGTTGGAATATACAATAAGGACCTAAGCATGAATCCACTTTAAATCTGGTTGCTGCATTCAGCAGAATTCTGAGGTTTGTAGTTTAGGGAGGAAGCCTTTAACAGCCTCACTAAACTACAAACCCCAGAATTCTGCAGGAGGCAGAAACTGGATTTAAAGTGGATTCATTCTCTAATGTGATGAAATAGTATAGCACTTCCAACAAATTGCTATCCAGCCTCTGCTTAAAAACCTCCGAAGAAGTAGACACCTCCATACTAAGGAGGCAGCATATTCCACTGTTGGATTGCTCTGCCAGGAAGTTCTCTCTAAATGCTTTTCCTAGAGTAATTCAGTGAAGTACTGCATCTAAATGTTCATCTATACCTACGTAATTATATTATATCTCTCTTTGCTTCTTTTTCTATCAATATATTTTAAACATAGCATATACTGAGAAATAGCTGAAATACTAACCAGTATTTAATTCTAATTAACTTGTAGTACATCTTCTCTGGTTAACAACCGAGGACGGGAATCTTACTGTGTTGCATGTTTTAGTGATTCATCTGTAGATACGCTTAGAAGCCCAAACTCTGCCTACTTTATTTTAAATGAAACTGTTTTATGTTTAAAAGAAATGCTGTTCAGTCAGCCCTCCACATTCACTAGGGTTATGGGCATAGGACCCCTGTGAAAGTGGAAAGCTGGGAATAGTTGAGAATACATCTCACTAGAACAGTGGTTCTCAACCTGGGGTCCCCAGATGTTTTTGGCCTACAACTCTCAGAAATCCCAGCCAGTTTACCAGCTGTGAGGATTTCTGGGAGCTGAAGGCCAAAAACATCTGGGGACCCCAGGTTGAGAACCACTGCATTAGAAGTTCTCCAGAATGACTCTGCAATCAGCCTCTGGAAGAATTTGTCCATAGAATCGCAATGGAACTTCCCTTAATAAATAAATAAGCAAATGTGCTGCAGGATGTCCCACAAAAACAAAGTTTGGGCAGTTTAATAAACTTTTTCCATGTTTTTAGGATAGAACCAATTAGGAAATCACATTTGTAACCCAGGGATAAAAATTGTGTTACATAGTGATCAGATCTATAAATGTCAAAGTCGCAAATGTGGGGAGATAACTGTATTTTATGTACTGTATATGTCCAGGGTTGCTCTCTGTTCTACATATATCCCAATTTGATCTCAATATTCTTTCCATTGCTACTGCATAAGGTTGACTTCACCAGTGAACTATTATATTTGTGCCTGTCTTTGTGAAGTTCAGATAATTACTTACAGAACCTGTCAAGCAGTTCATGCAGTAAAAGTGATTTGGTTCTCTTTATAAAGATTATGGATGTGAGAGCAGCAATTACTTTTCAGCAGATAGGGAGATGTGTGTTCTTGTTCAGCCTGTTCAGAGAACCAGCTCTTGAGTTTTAAAAAGGTGATTTCTCTATTGCCAGACTGCTGATGTTTATGCTAATGCAATACTATTAATGCTCTGTAGACCTACCTTTTTGCAAGGTGAAAGTGACCATCTGACAGCACATGCATAATTGAACATGCCACCTGTCTTCTGGAGATTTCTCAAACTTAGAAGAAAATCAATTAAAATGTATTTTCTATTTCATAATCTCAACTGACTACAAAATTGAGCCTATGCCCAACAACTCCTTCCACTCTAGACAAACCTTGATGCTAAAATGCACATTTTAAAATTAAAGTAAGGCCTTCAAGTTATCAAATTTCTTTTTGCCTTCTTTTGAAACACTGCTTATTGTATAATTTTCATTTGAACATAGCAGTCATATACACCAATGGTTAATTTCCAGTGTGCTATAATGTGCTGTTGTGTTCACATGTTTTTCGGTTTGAACTTTCCGCCAGCTGCTCCAGAAGTTTAAAACTAATTTCTCCTTCCAATTATGTGTTCTTTTTTACTTTCTTTTAGTGATGCTTCTTGGGCAGCTGTGGTGGGCTTGGAAATTCATGCACAGATCTGTTCCAACTCAAAGCTTTTCTCTCGTTCTCAAGTCCAGTTTGCAGCACCACCAAACTCTTTGGTATCTTTCTTTGATGCTTCTCTACCAGGAACACTTCCAGTAAGTCAGAATTCAATCCTTACTTCTGTCTTGACATAAAATATAGCAGAATGGTTCCTGTCTCTTCTGACTTTGAAATCAAGAGACCTGTAATAGACAGTCACCATTAATTATTTGCTGAAATGAGTAGTTCCAGTGCCTAAGTGAGAATATGAACAAGATAGCTTGTGATACTTCATACAGCTTGAGAGAGTCGGGCAAGTGAGATAATGTGCTACTTTCCAGGACTACTGAATCTCCAAACCCACAGAAATTCAAGGTCTACAAGAGAAAAATGGTGGCATGATTACTGATGAGGGAGACATTTGTAGTTTGACATTTTAATATGAACAGACAGAATTCATTCTTTCTAAAGGCCAGAAAGGAAACTGGGACACAGTTATCCCTCAGTTTTTGCAGTTCTTTGAGTACTAAGATTTTTTTTATTTTTTTAAAAAAGGTTCAAAATGTATATTTCTGTACAGTATTTGTGCATTAACAAAATGTACTAATTGAATGCAAAAATTCGTAGGTTAGGAAAATTCATGCAAAATGGAAACGCATATGGCATTTCATGTGGATTGGATTTTTAACGTCACAAACTTATGTAGAAATGGGACATGTGTGCTATAAAAATGAAATTTTTGAACAGAAGCAGATCATTCTTATTCATTATATACTCAAGGATGTAAAAAAGACTTGTTGTTTTCTCATCCTCAACATCCTGAACCAGAAAGCCCCATTAAAGTATTTCCAAAATCTACAATGTCTTTGTTTGTTCCTGCATAAGATCTGGGGTTTTTTTCAGCAGCAGCAACAACGTGTGTGCATGTGGGTTAGCTAAAAAATATACACAACAATTTTGAAAATCATTCTTTTAAAAATGCAATGAAATCATCGAGTATGGCTCAAAAAAGGTTACTCTCCCAATGACAGGGGAGAGATTAGCGTTAGGCATCAACTGAATATAAAATGCATAAATGGCAGTATATAATTCACTGGGCATGTTTGTATATTATGCTAAGCCATGATTTGTGTTAATCATAGTTAAGCCATGATTGTGCAGTAGATGGGCAAATAGAGGGCTTGTTTTCCTTGTTTCTCATCTGCTTTCCCCCTTGGTTCTTTTGTCACTCCTACTTTCGGGGTTGGCAGCTAGAGAAGTGAGCAAGGGACAAACCACAGTTTTGAGGTTGACCATCACCATGTGATGCTTCTCAAGTCGCTCCTGATGCAAAAAATAATAATAATCACAATAGGGTTTCAACAAGCCAGGATTTGTAAGCCAGAAGCACACCATGAATTCGTATTATGGTTTATGACTGACTAATAAAGCTTGAATTGTTAGAATACTGTAGACAGATTCACACATTTTAACAAGTTACATGTGAACAAACCATTTTATGTCTTGTCATGGCATATGAATACAGTCAGTCTGTAATAATGAAGTTAGGAATTTTTCTATTAAAGTATTAAAACTAGAAAATAATAGACAGAACTTTAAGTTGAGAGACCCATTTAAAAAAATACAAGGCAATAAAAAAGGCTTCACCATGTTTTCTGAAGACCATAACATTAGCAAGTCTCTTTTGGGAAAGTGTTTGATAGCCAAGGTCCCAATGCTAAAAAGGCCTTTTCACTGCCAGTCACCCCCATTTTATATGATAGAAGATGAGAGCAGAGTTATTGAAGAAGATTTGAAAGCTTAAGTGGGTTCATATAGAAAAAGGCAGTCTTTTTTGATATTTGTAAATGGTAGAGTCAGAAAACCTCTTTGAATCAAACTTGATGGATTCATCTTAGGGTCGCTATAAATAGGAAATGATTTGAAGGCATACAATAACAACAACAAACATTTAACGGACATTGATGGAATTGTTATCTCTTGTTGAAGAGTATGATTGAGGTCACATCTGGGGTACAAAATAGCACTAGTCAGGAATAAGAGAGTAGTATGCTGCGGTCACAGTCTTCTGTTTTAATGTACCAATCCATTTTAAAATCCCAACCAAATGTCTTTTCTGTGTTTATACTACTTTCCACATTGAAAGGTGAAAGATATGTTTGCAATTGGACATACTGGATATGCATAGGAAAGCGTTATGCCCTGAATCTTGCAGTATTCTTGCAGTTTCCTATGTATTTTGAGAGAAAATGATTATTTCTTTTATAATTGTTCCCTGGTGGGAAATCCGGGGTCTAAGCTAGAGCAGGCTCCTTTTGAGATAAGAGCTCCTGATTAATAGTCAGCTTGATGACTAACGTAATGAAAAATCTGTGATCTGCTCTTGTTCACCTCCAGCAGAGACTTTTTCCTCTGTGTAGAGAGAGAAAAAGAAATTTCCTTTACTTTGTTTGGTAGATAAGTTAAAGTGGGTATTTTAAAATGCTGGTACTTAAAAATGTCAAAATGTGATATGGAATTTTATTGATCCAGCTCTATCTTACTGCATTGTAGTGTTTGCTGTTAGTAGGGACGGTTAACATTACATTTAGTAATGCAGATGCAGGCCTCTTGATTTTAACGGAGTTCTTTAGTGTGCATAAAAATCTTAATAGTTGCACAAGTTAATTAATAGAGCATTAACCAAAATGCAATTTGCCTTCTGTTGCTTTAGGCCTTAAAATGTGTCTGCTTTAAAGTTAGCAGATGAAAGAGGAAGTTCTTTAGACATTACATTGCAAGTTCATATGTAAATCACATTCATTTAAAATCAAAACTATTAATATTTATGGAATAGTCTGAAATGCATGAAGTATATGTAAAATATTATGCACACATTAGTTCCAGTTAAATTCAAGGCCCAGCTAAACTCGCAACAAACTCCAGTATTCAAACAGATGTGGAAGTTAAGAGACTAAACTGGGATTATGAACTCCATAATGTGAGTCTCATCCTTGTCATGAACATAATGGGAGTTTGGGGCAAACCATCATATTTCACTTTCTCCTCTCCCTACTGTCTCTTTATCTGTGTTCGCTCACCTGATAAGACTGTTGAAAACATCAGCCTAAATCCAATCACTACTCACAACTAGAATAGAGAGATTAAAACATTGGGCAAGTATTGATTTACCATTTGTTGAATAAGCTTTACTTAGGCCTAGCAATTGGATGTAAGACTGGGGTGGAAATTGCACAGTCCTCTAGCTTTTGTTGACCCAGCATTCCTTACCTTTGGCTGTTCTAGCTAGGATTACTTGGAGGGCGGTATTTAGAGAGCCACATAATTCCAACCATGATTTAGGCTTCTACAGCACTCAATTATATAGTGATGTAAATTTTGATATTATTTTAAACATACTGCCCTATCTTATACTACCTGCAGTATACCTGAAGCCATCACTTAAGACTGAAAACCAGAGAAGATAATGGTTTAAATTCCTGAAAATGGTCTGAGTCCTATTGTTACTCCTAATAAGGGTCATTACTGAGTCAGTTGAAATTATATAGGTGTCTATGCACCATTTTATAATGGCTTTAATATGTCTACTTTAGTTGGGACTAATGAACAAGGTTTGGGTTAAATAATAATAATAGTAATGGTAATAATAATAATAATAATAATAATAATAATAATAATAATGTTTTTGTTACTCACTTCTCATGGCTCGAGACAGGACACAACACAATTAAAACACAACATCAAATACATACAACAAAATGCATAGTAAGAAGATCAAAATACAGCAGCAATAGAATGCAAATCCAAAACTCATGATTTAACTTTGACTTGGGGTGGCCAATGAAAAGATTGTCTGGCATTGGGTGATAAGCACCAGTTGGGTTCTAGCTGGTTGGAGTAGACTCTGCCCAAAGTGTTCAGGCTGGATTATACGGGAGAAAACGATCCTGTAGATTGGGAATTCTCAAACTTTTTCACCTGTGGAGCCGTTTTTGAAGCAGAAATTTATTGCAAAGCCCCTATAAATGTTTATATATTATGTATTATATTATATTATATTATATTAATCAGGCATGGGCAAAGAGGAGGGAAAGCTTGGAGGGGGAGGGAGGAGGACGGAATGATGGCACCCCTAAGTAAGCTTCATGAAACCCCAAAGTATCCGCATAGCACACTTTGAGAACCACTGCTGTAGATAATCTGGATCCAAACCATGTGGGGCTTTAAAGGTCAAAATCAACACTTTGTGCTTTATCCAGAAACTAATTGCCAACCAGTGGGTGTGATATACTCGCTCCTAGATTGTTCCCATAACCAATCTGGCTGCCATATTTTGAACTTATTGAAGTTTCCAAACCTGGTACAGAGATAATCCAATATACAGCACATAGCAGAAGTCCAGCCTTGGAAGTTCCCAGCACATGCACTATCATCTTATTACAATTACCACTGGAGATAGGAAATCTAAACTAAAATACGTATTTGGTTAAGCTGTATGCTTTCCCAGTCCAACTGTTTTTTCCAGCTATTAAAGGAAGGATGGTGTATTAGAAATGGATAACAAAGATAATTTTAAGAAGCTAAGTACCTGCCTCATTGTTGTCCTTCACGAATTGAATGGACAACACTCAGTAAAAAAAAACACAGTCCTTCAGCCAGTTCATATTTGATGTCCTGTTATAAGTAGTCAATAGTACCATTTGTGAAATGGATGCATAATGCTTAGCCTATTTAAATCTACTCCCATTGTTAAAAATCAATATGAAATTCATCTTGACTGTGGTGAGTTCCCAATAAGGTCAAACACTGAGAGTTTTCTGAGTCCCAGGTGAACAACACCATTTTTTATAACTGGGAAAAAGTCAAACTGAGAAAGTGAACTGCTTAATTATTTTGAACCTGAAGTTCCATATCAATAGTTAATTAATTTACAACATTAATCTATCACCTGGGGAATGATGACTGAAGCATGATGAGCTTAGACTGCAAAGGAAAATCATTTTATTTGCAGAAAAGGATTTTGGCTGTTGGTTATAAATTTCTTAGTTTGAGGAGTCGTAGTATTTCTGTGATGTGTCTTAAATTAGTTTAGCAATGGCAGAATAAAAAAGACACA